ACAGTCAATACGCGGAACACTTAGAACCGCGGAAACCTCGAGACGAAAACCCTCGTGACGAACTCCTCGATCACGGAAATCTCCTAACGGAATGATCGTCTTGCCGAAATCGGCCGTTACCTCGGTCATCGCGAGGTGGGAATCGCGAGGTATCTCTGTCTCGCTCGCGCTCAGGTGACACGTCACGCGCGTGTCTTCGTACTCCGTCGCGCTCTGCCCGATTCGAACTTTTTCCGATCGCGGAATCTAAACATCGCGACCGTTAAAACGACCGAGCCGGCAAGAAACTCAGCTCGTGTATCGATGTTTTTATATTATCGCGGTGACTTTCTCGAGACCTCAATACGGTCCCGAGAATATTATTATTCCGGACGATATTAAAATTAAATCAGAGAGACGGTTTGAAAATTACCTTGGTACTTTTTTAAACAGAGTAATAAATGTGGTTACACATTGACTTTCCGCAGCTAACCTTATCTGATGGAATCCAGTTTTCGCATCTAGCTTCGAAAATATTTTTGCTCCCTCTAGTTTCGCAAGTGCAACATCTATTTTTGGCACTGGGAAAACCGCGCGTTTGATCCAAGAATTAAGTTTTGTATAATCTCAGCATAACCGAATCCCATCCGACTTGGGCTTTTGCACTACAATTATTGGACTGCACCAATCCGTTGGAAAATCCACTGGTTTGATTACCTGTGCCTCTACTAACCTTTTAAGTTCCTTCTTTAACTTTGGTAATAAGGCTATAGGGACGACTCGTGGCGTAGTTTGAAAGAAAAGCTGTGCATTCTCTACTAAGTGATTTTTCAGTTCCCTCTTAAATTGTCCCAGGCCGTTAAAAACATTACCATACTCTTGTACAATTTTCTCATCAGATTTTACTATGTTCAAACCATTAATACTCTTAATTATTTCTAACGCGTTAATTTCCGGTTTCCCTAACAAATTTTGTTTTAAGCCACGTAGGACGTACATATTACATTTCACCGTTTTAGAATTCCTCACGCAACTAACTTTCATAACCCCGACTACATTGAGTTGTTTTCCATCAGGTCCGAGAATTAATTTCCGCGTAGGTAATATTTTATTTACGAAATTTTCGGGAATCGAATCCTGCGAAACACATGTAACGTCCGCGCCGGTATCCACAAGAAACTCCACGCTTTTTCCGAACTCAGCCACCGCGATATTGACTAAAAACCTATTACCTGTCCGCTCTCGTTTTTTAGATACATCGCCTAAGAAAAACGTGTCCTCGTCCGAACCGTCTTCTATGTGATGAACTCCGCTGGGTTTTTGTTCGTTGGTCTCTCCGCCTCGGTGAAGGTTATTCGACCTGCAGGCACGATCCCAATGCCCGATCTTCTTACATTTTCGGCACGTTGAATGCAGCGCTGGACATTTCTTGGCATCGGCGTGTTGTGGCAAACTGCAACGGTAACATGGTCCGCGTTTGGCAGCACTGTGTCCCTTTTCCGTGTACGGTTTGTTACCTCCCGGATTCGAATGTTTTTTGTCTCGAGAGCTTGCTACTCGATTGACTTCACTGCGATCACTGATTTCTTTCCGAATAAACTTGCCTTCTTTCATTTGCACTTCCGCTTGTCTAGCTATCGTTATAGCTTTTTCCAGAGTTAAATCTGCTATTAATTGCAAGCGTTCTGAGGTTTCGGTGTCTCGGATACCGATCACAATCCTGTCTCTAATTAACTCCTCTTTTAACGCACCGAATTCGCACGTACTTGCTGAAGTGTACAGGACTGTTAAGAAAGTGTCCACGCTTTCGTCTGCCTGCTGTACTCTGGAGTTGAATTTAAACCTCTCGAAGATAGTGTTCTTCTTTGGTGAAAAATACTCTGTGAACTTCCCTTTTACCATTTCGATGATCGTGTTAACGCCCATCTCCGGCATAAGCTGAGTCAACACTTCTTCCGATTTCTCTCCCATGACGTAGCACAATAAATCTATCTTCTCTTTCTCCGATTTCTCTGAGAGATTCGCTACTGATATGTACCGTTCAAATATTTTTAACCACGTAGGCCATAATAACGGCTTTGCAAAATCAAATTCATTCGGAGGACGAACGTTTGAAACCGTCGCTACCGAAGTTATCGACACGTGGGATTCGCTAGCCATCGTGATTCTTCTCGTAGATATTAATCGCGATTAAGCACGCACTTCTGACACCATGTACGGTTATCCGTAGATAACTCTGATTACGCGTAGTCGATAGGGAGAGGAAAATAATGGAACTCGAAAGCCTTTATGTTATATCTTCCTGCCTCGTGCTCGTGCTCCATACGTATCGTCTAGCCACTAACCGGAAGCCCCCTTTCTAAGACCTCTTCCTTAACCTCTCTTGCGCCATCTCACGCATCTACTTATGGAGCCAAAACTCCCTAGTCCGGCGCACTCACACAGCATATATTTATATACTATGTATATTTATACACTTACTATTAATATTATTTTTTTCTATAGAAGCGTTAAAACAGTTTTTTTCAATTATGCAAAATCTCTCATCATTTTACTATCTTTCTCGCAATCTACTCTGTCACAAATTTCAATGATAATCTCTCTCTCTCTCTCCCTCTCCCTCTCTCGCTCTCTCTCTCTGTCTCTGTGTGTCTCTTTCTCTCTCTCTGTTTTTTTCTCTTTCTGTCTTTTTCTCTTTTTCTTTCAGTTACCTGACAAAACGCACAGACATACATATAGAGAGAGAGAGAGCGTTATACTTAATACAATACACGTGCTTGTCGTATATCTCCCTGTCTCTGTCTCTGTTGTACAAGTGTGTGTGTGTGTGTGTGTGTACCGCAATTATTCGCTCCGCGTATTGAAACGTTTGTTGCTTAAATTAAATACAATTTCATTTATCCGCAATTATCCATAGCACTTTCTATCGCTCTCTATCGAACATGTCTATCCCCTCGAAGTTTTTACAATTGCTCTATAGTAAAACATGTTTCTTGTATGTATTTCAGATTGAACGAGAAAGTCGTTTTATAAAAAAAATGCCTAAACGAAGAAAGAATTGTATCCGACGGAAAACAAGAGCTGCTGCACACGTTGCTGACGTTAGACGACGACAACGACAGCAAGGACAGCAGCAACAGCAGCAGCGGCCGGTGTCACAGGTGTCGGGTCCATCGTGGTGGTCACCGTCGCCGACTAACCGGAAGCCCCCTTTCTAAGACCTCTTCCTTAACCTCTCTTGCGCCATCTCACGCATCTACTTATGGAGCCAAAACTCCCTAGTCCGGCGCACTCACACAGCATATATTTATATACTATGTATATTTATACACTTACTATTAATATTATTTTTTTCTATAGAAGCGTTAAAACAGTTTTTTTCAATTATGCAAAATCTCTCATCATTTTACTATCTTTCTCGCAATCTACTCTGTCACAAATTTCAATGATAATCTCTCTCTCTCTCTCCCTCTCCCTCTCTCGCTCTCTCTCTCTGTCTCTGTGTGTCTCTTTCTCTCTCTCTGTTTTTTTCTCTTTCTGTCTTTTTCTCTTTTTCTTTCAGTTACCTGACAAAACGCACAGACATACATATAGAGAGAGAGAGAGCGTTATACTTAATACAATACACGTGCTTGTCGTATATCTCCCTGTCTCTGTCTCTGTTGTACAAGTGTGTGTGTGTGTGTGTGTGTACCGCAATTATTCGCTCCGCGTATTGAAACGTTTGTTGCTTAAATTAAATACAATTTCATTTATCCGCAATTATCCATAGCACTTTCTATCGCTCTCTATCGAACATGTCTATCCCCTCGAAGTTTTTACAATTGCTCTATAGTAAAACATGTTTCTTGTATGTATTTCAGATTGAACGAGAAAGTCGTTTTATAAAAAAAATGCCTAAACGAAGAAAGAATTGTATCCGACGGAAAACAAGAGCTGCTGCACACGTTGCTGACGTTAGACGACGACAACGACAGCAAGGACAGCAGCAACAGCAGCAGCGGCCGGTGTCACAGGTGTCGGGTCCATCGTGGTGGTCACCGTCGCCGCTGCCACCGGTGCCAGTGGCGGTGTCGGATTTATCGCGACGGTCATCGTCAAGATCGTCACCACAGGTACCACTACCACCGCCGCCGCCGCCGCCACCACCATCATCTCCGTCATCGTCATCATCGTCGTCGTCATCGTCGTCTTCAACATCGTCGTCGAGAAATCGTCGAAGAAGACAAGGTAATCGAGAATCACGACTAGGTACGCCGCGTATCGCGATGGATCGAGAGGGTGCCGCGTATCGTTATCATCCGTCGCATGATTACGCGAATCATTCCATGTTTGCTGTTGGTCGACTGGGCGACACGGTATGCCAGGCGTGTAGAGGATTGCGCTGGCACCGAGAGCCACCTGGTATGTGCTGTAGTCACGGCCAAGTACGAATACCGGTAATTGCATGGCCGCTACCGTCACCGTTGCACCAACAATTTACTAGAAACAATCGACAGGCGCGTAATTTTCGTGCAAATATACGTCATTACAATGATCAGTTCGCAATGACATCGTTCGGTGGCACGTTCGTTGCCGGACTGCAGAGAGGACGTGGCGGATGTGCGACATTCAGAGTTTCCGGTCAAACATATCATACGCTGAATCCGTTGCTACCACCGTTAATATCTGTTGACAACTACGACAATTATCGCGAACATCCGAATGTCGCCGATAGCGGCGACGGCGCCACGAGACGATATCCGTTAGAAGTGTATATGATTGATCTTGAACAGCAGCGGGAACACGCTACCGACAGAACGTTGGACGTAACACTGTGCGAACAGCTACGACAAATGCTACGGTCCGTAAATCCATACGTGTCGCGATTCGTAACATTTGCCACGTCTGACAATGCCATCGGCAACGATCAAGTGATCGTGTTGCCGGCCGTCGCCGCTACTACGTCGTTCGCGCCCGTTGAACCGATTACTATAGAACAGCAGCGACTACACGATCGTGGCGAGGATACACGTGAAATGGCCGCGCTGATGCACGCGGAAACCGCGTATATGGATAGGCGTAACGGCATCGTACAGCTACGCGAGGACGAGAGCCACGATACTCGCGTCGAACGACGTCGACGGATGAGCGAGCTGCATCGATCGTCCGATGCGCTCCAGTATCCGTTGATGTTTCCGTTTGGCGACGACGCATACACGACGGCAATCGACGGTATCGGCGGCGCGATACCGTTGCACGACCCGATACCCAGTCGAACATCGAGACAGAGGGACCGTCCAGCGTTGAGATATTTTTACCCACGGCCGGAAAGTGGGGACGACGCGACCATGGTGGGGACCAATAGTTGGTGGGGGTATGCAGTGATTTTCACGGTAGAACTGCGGAGAGCTTCGCGAAAGCGCATGAGCACGCATGAGGGGAATAGTAGTGGGGATCGAAATACGGGCGAAAAACAGGGGAAGCGAGCGTCGTGGGTAAAAATACCTCAACGCTGGGACCGTCATAGACGCGATAGAACGAATCGTCGCACGTCCTCCTCGTCTTCGGCCGCGTCGCACATCGATGCTGGTACACACAGAACGGGTAGCTGTCGCGAGTTTTATGCGTACAGACTGATGACACGCGGCGACGGTGACACGTTGCTGCGTTACGGTCAGTTGTTAAATCAATATCTAGTAGACATGGCGGCAAAAATCATTCAAGATCGGCTGTCTTATCGCTCGCATAACGATTGGACGATGCGCGTCGATCGTTATGGCGCAGCGGCGGCAGCAGCAACGTCGGCGGGAACGGCCACTGGGTCTAACAACACCACGGTAGCCGCTGCCGACGTTGGCCGACGCATCGCGTTTTCACCGTCGTACACCGGTTCGCCGCAGAATCTACACCACTGCATACAGTCAGTGTTTACATACGTACGTGAGTACGGCAATCCGCACGTGTTCATTACCATGACCTGTAATCCATACTGGACAGAGGTAACAAATGCGTTGCTGTCCGGTCAACAGGTGTACGACCGGTACGATCTGTTGTGTCGCGTATTCCGGTTAAAGCTCGACAGACTGGTGAACGCGGTGTGCGGCAAACACGGCGTATTTGGCGAGACACGATGTTACTCGTACAACGTCGAGATACAGAAATGTGGACTACCACACGTACACATGGTCGTGTGGCTGAAACCCGGACCGCGATCCAAACCTACACGACATTGTCGTAAGGTATCAGCTGCACGGACCATGCATAAGCACCGATCGCACGGATATATCGTGCTTAGCGAATCGGCGCCGTAACGCCGTTCGATGTCGACAACACTATCCGTACCCGTTCTGTACGACCACCACTGTGGGTCATGCGCCGACGGTGATGAATGGTAGAGCGACAACAGCGGCGGCAGCGGCAGCGGCAGCGGCAGCAACGGCAGCAACGGTGGATGATAATAACGCAGCGGCCATCGACAACGAACGTGACAGTAACTTCACTCTGTACGCGAGATATAGAAGACGTAGTCCGACCGACGGTTTGTGAACTAGTTGCCGGCCGGCGGCGGCGGCGATTGTCAACAGGAATATACGCTGGACAACCGCTGGGTCATACTGTACTGTCCGCTGTTGTCACGAGCACTGAATACGCATGTAAACGTTGAAGCGATTGACTTGCTGTACGTGCTCATTTATCTGACCAAGATGATAGACTCGTCGGCGATCGGCGAGAGATATGCGCCAACCGCAACGATGACAAACGTAGACGATGATGCGTCGCACGATTATGTACACGGTCGTTACTTCAGCACAGCCGAAGCCGTGTGGAGAATATTTGCGTTCCGCACATACGGTAATTGGCCGCCAGTGATCACGCTCGACGTGCATCTACCAGACGAGGAACGTATTCTACTGCCAGACGACGAACGTCAGCCGTTGGTCAGCGTGCTGCCACCACAGCCGCCGGCTATTACGTTGATTGCGTTCTGTTAGAGGATACTCTAACGGGAGTCCGGAAGGCGAGGAGAAGCGGGGTACGCAAATGGGGATCGAAATACGGGCGAAAAACAGGGGAAGCGAGCGTCGTGGGTAAAAATACCTCAACGCTGGGACCGTCATAGACGCGATAGAACGAATCGTCGCACGTCCTCCTCGTCTTCGGCCGCGTCGCACATCGATGCTGGTACACACAGAACGGGTAGCTGTCGCGAGTTTTATGCGTACAGACTGATGACACGCGGCGACGGTGACACGTTGCTGCGTTACGGTCAGTTGTTAAATCAATATCTAGTAGACATGGCGGCAAAAATCATTCAAGATCGGCTGTCTTATCGCTCGCATAACGATTGGACGATGCGCGTCGATCGTTATGGCGCAGCGGCGGCAGCAGCAACGTCGGCGGGAACGGCCACTGGGTCTAACAACACCACGGTAGCCGCTGCCGACGTTGGCCGACGCATCGCGTTTTCACCGTCGTACACCGGTTCGCCGCAGAATCTACACCACTGCATACAGTCAGTGTTTACATACGTACGTGAGTACGGCAATCCGCACGTGTTCATTACCATGACCTGTAATCCATACTGGACAGAGGTAACAAATGCGTTGCTGTCCGGTCAACAGGTGTACGACCGGTACGATCTGTTGTGTCGCGTATTCCGGTTAAAGCTCGACAGACTGGTGAACGCGGTGTGCGGCAAACACGGCGTATTTGGCGAGACACGATGTTACTCGTACAACGTCGAGATACAGAAATGTGGACTACCACACGTACACATGGTCGTGTGGCTGAAACCCGGACCGCGATCCAAACCTACACGACATTGTCGTAAGGTATCAGCTGCACGGACCATGCATAAGCACCGATCGCACGGATATATCGTGCTTAGCGAATCGGCGCCGTAACGCCGTTCGATGTCGACAACACTATCCGTACCCGTTCTGTACGACCACCACTGTGGGTCATGCGCCGACGGTGATGAATGGTAGAGCGACAACAGCGGCGGCAGCGGCAGCGGCAGCGGCAGCAACGGCAGCAACGGTGGATGATAATAACGCAGCGGCCATCGACAACGAACGTGACAGTAACTTCACTCTGTACGCGAGATATAGAAGACGTAGTCCGACCGACGGTTTGTGAACTAGTTGCCGGCCGGCGGCGGCGGCGATTGTCAACAGGAATATACGCTGGACAACCGCTGGGTCATACTGTACTGTCCGCTGTTGTCACGAGCACTGAATACGCATGTAAACGTTGAAGCGATTGACTTGCTGTACGTGCTCATTTATCTGACCAAGATGATAGACTCGTCGGCGATCGGCGAGAGATATGCGCCAACCGCAACGATGACAAACGTAGACGATGATGCGTCGCACGATTATGTACACGGTCGTTACTTCAGCACAGCCGAAGCCGTGTGGAGAATATTTGCGTTCCGCACATACGGTAATTGGCCGCCAGTGATCACGCTCGACGTGCATCTACCAGACGAGGAACGTATTCTACTGCCAGACGACGAACGTCAGCCGTTGGTCAGCGTGCTGCCACCACAGCCGCCGGCTATTACGTTGATTGCGTTCTGTTAGAGGATACTCTAACGGGAGTCCGGAAGGCGAGGAGAAGCG